GAACTTCTAACCCGGTCTAGTGTGGCACGAACAGAGAGACGCCTGGAAGTGGATTGGTCAGGTTTCTCATCAGCGCATGTGTTTAGGGGACGCCTTCCATCCTGCCAACTCATCACCAACACAATGTTAACGCTTCAACACTTTATTTGCATAATAGATTGATAAGTAGTTCTCTGTGTGTCTGCCGAACTGCATGGAAACAGTGCTAAACCCAGCAGAAAAATATCCTTAACAATAATAGTAATAATAATCATAATAATAGCAATCAATAACATTGTATGATGATGACACTGCTGATGTTGGTACTTTCATAATGATGGTTATATATTTAGCCCTGTGTGAACTACATTAGAGTTTTTTTTTAATGATGCACTACCCAGACATCCCTGAATACTCCACCCTTCCTCTCCTCAAAAGTGCACCTTTACTGACCTTCCGAAGATCTGCTGTTCCCTGTGTCGAGCAGGTGGGATCGTGACAGAATCGCAGCTGTCGGCTGAATGTTTCTGGAGATCAGCAGTGAAGAAACATCAGTAGTTTCAGAGCAAACGTGAGTCCAATCCAACAGCAGCCATGAGAGCTGTCAGTGCTACCTGCGTCCAGGAGAGTGACAGCGCTCATTTGCAGCTTGTGAGCTACCAATAAACCCCCGGCAGAACACGCTTCACCTCCGACAGGAATAAATAAATAAATATATATTTTTTGTGTCTGTAAGAGGCATTCGATTCACAACACTGCATCTGGCATAAACATCTTAAACGCCTTCAATAATAATAATAATAATAATTTAAGAAAAAAATCCAAGTGCAACCCAAGATAAACATTACAAACACTAAATGCTGGAAAATAAAAAAAGGAAATAAAACCTGAAGCAGATCTGGAATAAAAGGCCACTGATGCAATGACCCGTACCTTGCACAGCTAGCAGCTACCTGAAAGCCATAACGGTACACGAGAAAGAGAGCAATTCAGGGAGTTCAGACTTCCGCTGATTAAAAGAAAAGCTAACTAGAGAATTGTGGGTAGAAATCAAATTCAAAAAGCAGCACAAATCATCAACTGAACACAAAAGAAAGCCTTAAAGGAGAAGGATGACGTGAGGGCGCTTGCAGACGACACTTCTCCTGATGAACGGATGGATAGATGGATGGAGAGCCGCTCCAATGTGTCCCTCTGAACATCTCTCGAACCCGGGCGGCAAATTCCCGACACGGTCCTCAAGATCCACCTGCTCGGCACCACACGTCCATGCCGAAGATTCGGCCGTCGAGTCCTACTGCCACACACACGAGTCAGCGCAAACTCGCTCTGTCCTCCCACCGGCGGACAGATCCCACTGCTTGAGCAACGGCAGCGCATCTTTTCCCTTCAGTCCCTGCTCGGTCAGGGTTTCGTTTCCTTACTGCAATCAAGGTTGTGAGAACTGTGAGGCACTTTAGAAACACGCACACACAAACATGTACACACGCCTACTCGCTCGTGCTCTCGCAAACACACGGACGAACTAAAAACCAACTTGGTCTCAGCTAAGCAGAATGGCCTTATACCCCTACAGTAGGTACTCGCAACAGACAGGTCAGACTGCAGGACAGCAGTGTCCTCAGAGAGAGCTGGGCTAAGACACAGGAAGTCCTCCGTGCTGCTGCTGCTGTTCCCCCTACAAACTGGTCACGCACTCCATGTCCTCGTCCTCCATCAGAGTGCTGTTCCCCTCGGAGCACTCTAACTCCACCCCCAGCAGCTCGTCGGAGCCCGTGGCGGTCGAGAGGCCCAGCGTGTGGCTGCAACGGGACTCCTGGGAGCCAGTGTCTCTGCACTGTATGAAGGGCAGCAGGTTTCCGTTGGCGTTGGGCGGCGCGTTGGCATTGAGAATGTTGTCGGCAGCGTTCTCCATCTCCTCCATGGCAAACACACATTCAGAACATTAAAATATAACTCTATCTAGGAGCCAGAAGGGTCCAAATGTATCCCCCAAAAAGAAAAATTCATTATATTTTACAAATGTTGAAAAGATTTAGTTTGAAAGCTGTCTCTTATGCTCACTAAGACTGCATTTATTTGATCAAAAATACAGTAAAACAGCAATATTGTCAAATATTATTACGATTTAAAATGAGTCCTTTCAATCATATGTTTTCAAAATGTAATTTATTCCTGTGATGGCAAAGCTGAATTTTCAGCATCATTCCTCCAGTCTTCAGTGAAACTAATACAACTAACCATTTGAACATGCTTAGTTATGATGAACAGGCTACAATTTCATATTATAAAATAAAAAGGCTCATCCCATTTGCTTTTGTTGATGTCAAAAGGCCTGCATCCATCAAACTCTACAGGATTTTGCTACAAATGAATCTGTCAGTAGTGTTCCTTTAGTATTACTTATATACTACTACTGTGTTTATTAATATTTTTATTCGCTTTTTATATTTTCATTTTAAGTAATTTAGTAATTGTATGCTTTTATAATTTCTTTGTTCATTTTGCCACAAATTAATCTGTCAGTATTGCTATTTTAGTATTATTTATATATTATTATACATATATACTATTATATATTATAGTATTTATTAATATTTTGAATTAGCTTTTTATATTTTCAATTTTCGTTTTCATTTGAATGTTTAGCTTAAATTTAAGTGTAATTTGTGTGTTTTTGACTTATTTATTAGTTTGTTTATTTTTATAGCTTAATTTTTTATTTCAGTTTTAATCATTTTAGCACTTAAAATTTCGGTAACACTTTACAATAAGGTTCATTAGTTAAACAGTAGTTAATGTATAAACTAACATGAACTAACCATGAGCAATACATTTGTTACTGTATTTACTAATCTTCACTCACGTTAGTTAATAAAAATACAGATGTTCATTGTTAGCTCATGTTAGTTCACAGTGCATTAACTAATGTTAACAAGATTTTAACAATGTATTAGTAAATGTTGAAATTAACATTAACAAAGATTAATAAACGCTGTATAAGTGCAGTTCATTATTAGTTCATGTTAACTAATGAACCTTATTGTAAAGTGTTACCAAATAGAACATGTTTTATTTCAGTTATTTATCTAAGTTAAGCTATATTTTATTTCTGCTTTATTTCAATGAATAAAAATTATTTTAAAGTTTTAATTTACAATAATAACACTGTCTGTCTGAGTTCTTTGTAGAAACGTCCAGATTAGGTAGATACCAACATAAATGTGTTGTTTCACATGCCCTTATCATCAAGAATAACATGAACAAAGCTTCAAAAAAACTGATTTGTTGCTGAGAACGTAAAATCTGGGTTCTGACCGTAAAACCAGTTAAGAACCACTGGCCTAGCACATGCTCATTTAGCTGTCAGCCAATCGGGAAAGCCGCTCACAGATCCTGCTAGTTAATGCTAGAGTGGATCTGTGTGTGGTGCACACATTTAGCTTCAGATCCACCCCAGTATGGACAGAGCATACGACAGCCCTCCAAAGTGATGAGGTCTCTTTCGGTCTATGTGTGAGGAACGTACCGCATGAAAGTTTCATAGAAACAGCTCCTGGTCCACATGAGACAATCAGGGGCGAGACAAACCACAATCAGGAACCAGATTCTGACAAACCTGAGCATCTCCCCATTAATTCGCACATTTGCATTCCACTACAGAAAGCATATGTCATCATACCTCTTGTTAGGAAAGCACCATGTGGGCCGTGGTAGTGGGACGGTGGTGAGGGGCGGCCCCGTGTGTCCGTCCACTGTGCTGACGGTAGGTTTGGGGTACCGGTGTCCGATGGCTGTGTTGTTGGCGTTGTTAATGTTTGCGTTGGATCCCGAGGAAGAATAACTGCTCGGAGTGAAGGTGGAGTCGACGAGCTTCTGATGAGACGGAGATTCTGCTTCGCCGGGACTCCCGGATTTACTGATGTGCAACGGCCGCTGTGTTGTGAAGGACTGTGGGAAGGAGGCGTGGCCGTCACTCTGGTGGTAGTAGTCGACGTGGTTACCGAAGAGACCGCCAGACCGCTGCAAAGACAAATGTACGCATGAAAGTGATCACATTTACGCAAACCTCATCATCCCTCCCCCTTCACACCTGCTATTAACAACTCCAGTGGTTTTTCAGTAGATTTCAATGACTACATACAGCATGTCTTTCCCATGTACATGTTTGCCTGGACATTTTCTTATAATACAGAAGCCTTAAGCATTAAGGACATATTCCATCTCTTTTTCAGCTGTATTTAGTGTCTATTAGTGATCGAATGTTAATACCAAGGTAAACGGGCCAAATGTGACCCTGGACCACAAAACCAGTCTTAAGTCGCTGGGGCCAAAAAAATAGCCAAAAAAACATTGTATGGGTCAAAATTATCGTTTTTTTTTTTTCTTTTATGCCAAAAATCATTAGGATATTAAGTAAAGATCATGTTCCATGAAAATATTTTGTAAATTTCCTACCGTAAATATATCAAAACTTAATTTTTGATTAGTAATATGCATTGCTAAGAACTTCATTTGGACAACTTTAAAGGCGATTTTCTCAATATTTAGATTTTTTTTGCACCCTCAGATCCCAGATTTTCAAATAGTTGTTATATTTTATTTCTGCTTTATTTCAATGAATAAAAATTATTTTAAAGTTTTAATTTACAATAATAACACTGTCTGTCTGAGTTCTTTGTAGAAACGTCCAGATTAGGTAGATACCAACATAAATGTGTTGTTTCACATGCCCTTATCATCAAGAATAACATGAACAAAGCTTCAAAAAAACTGATTTGTTGCTGAGAACGTAAAATCTGGGTTCTGACCGTAAAACCAGTTAAGAACCACTGGCCTAGCACATGCTCATTTAGCTGTCAGCCAATCGGGAAAGCCGCTCACAGATCCTGCTAGTTAATGCTAGAGTGGATCTGTGTGTGGTGCACACATTTAGCTTCAGATCCACCCCAGTATGGACAGAGCATACGACAGCCCTCCAAAGTGATGAGGTCTCTTTCGGTCTATGTGTGAGGAACGTACCGCATGAAAGTTTCATAGAAACAGCTCCTGGTCCACATGAGACAATCAGGGGCGAGACAAACCACAATCAGGAACCAGATTCTGACAAACCTGAGCATCTCCCCATTAATTCGCACATTTGCATTCCACTACAGAAAGCATATGTCATCATACCTCTTGTTAGGAAAGCACCATGTGGGCCGTGGTAGTGGGACGGTGGTGAGGGGCGGCCCCGTGTGTCCGTCCACTGTGCTGACGGTAGGTTTGGGGTACCGGTGTCCGATGGCTGTGTTGTTGGCGTTGTTAATGTTTGCGTTGGATCCCGAGGAAGAATAACTGCTCGGAGTGAAGGTGGAGTCGACGAGCTTCTGATGAGACGGAGATTCTGCTTCGCCGGGACTCCCGGATTTACTGATGTGCAACGGCCGCTGTGTTGTGAAGGACTGTGGGAAGGAGGCGTGGCCGTCACTCTGGTGGTAGTAGTCGACGTGGTTACCGAAGAGACCGCCAGACCGCTGCAAAGACAAATGTACGCATGAAAGTGATCACATTTACGCAAACCTCATCATCCCTCCCCCTTCACACCTGCTATTAACAACTCCAGTGGTTTTTCAGTAGATTTCAATGACTACATACAGCATGTCTTTCCCATGTACATGTTTGCCTGGACATTTTCTTATAATACAGAAGCCTTAAGCATTAAGGACATATTCCATCTCTTTTTCAGCTGTATTTAGTGTCTATTAGTGATCGAATGTTAATACCAAGGTAAACGGGCCAAATGTGACCCTGGACCACAAAACCAGTCTTAAGTCGCTGGGGCCAAAAAAATAGCCAAAAAAACATTGTATGGGTCAAAATTATCGTTTTTTTTTTTTCTTTTATGCCAAAAATCATTAGGATATTAAGTAAAGATCATGTTCCATGAAAATATTTTGTAAATTTCCTACCGTAAATATATCAAAACTTAATTTTTGATTAGTAATATGCATTGCTAAGAACTTCATTTGGACAACTTTAAAGGCGATTTTCTCAATATTTAGATTTTTTTTGCACCCTCAGATCCCAGATTTTCAAATAGTTGTAAATCGGCCAAATATTGTCCTATCCTAACACACCATACATCAATGGAAAGCTTATTTATTCAGCTTAGGGTTAGGTGTATAAATCCCAATTTCAAAAAATTGACCCGTATGACTGGTTTTGTGGTTCAGGGTCACAAATGAACATACTGTTAGGTTTTTCTAAACTGTCTATAAATGTACTTTAACATCACTGATGACTAATTCTTAATAGAGCTATTTGGATTTTCCTTTAACACTCATTTATAACCATCTGATCTGTGTGATGAGGGCAAAGCGCTGTTCCTTAATGATTTCTGATACTTTTACTTGACAAGCTTATGCAATTTGACACATTTATGAACTTAATATGAACATAATGATTTTGTTGTCCTAATAACAACTGAAAAAAATTATTCGAAGCCCTCAATGTTGAGCAAAGAATCTAAACAAGCAGCTCTGTGACCCTTCGCAGCCCGGTGGGTTTGAAGATCTGGCTGATGGTCCCATGCAGGTGGGTAGAAGCTCCGGCAGCAGAAGCGATGATGTGAGAAGAGCGGAGGAGAGGAAACGAGAGGCAATATCAGACCTTTACCCTGAAGATATCATCCTCAGATGCAGAACACACGGTTTCCTTCATGGCTCTCTCCAGCTCCTCCTCCACAGTCAGGTCTCCTGATATCGCTCTTCTAATCTCAGGACCCATATCATGCAGTGTACGCAGGCCAGCCTGGTCACAACACACACAAATAGGCACATTCATATGCAAACAAAACACACTTTTCTGTTATAGCTGATGGTCTTATGTACCCACCTGCAGTGAAAGAGCCGTCTTTGGAGGAATTTTGGACACCAGGCCCTGTTCCTTGCGCTTCTTAAATTTCCTGAAGTATTCCTGAATCAGAAATGTGGCATAGAACTTCCCCACTGTTACTTCATCATCTGTCGGGCAAGGAAACACACACTCAGGTTTTGTTCACTGTGCTGGTTAGAAGTTATGTTGCTTCCTGCATTGTTATTTTAGTTCATAAATATATTGTTTCAGAATTTTAAGATAAACTTGACAGCTTCTTGAAGTGTTGGGATAGGAGAAGAGAACTTGAACACCTTTGTTTTGTTTTCACTACACAAGTTTGGGGTCAGTGCTTTTTTTTAAAGAAATTAACACTTTTATTCAACAGTTATGCATTAAACTGAAAGCGTGACAGAGTACATTGTTAGAAAAGATTTCTGTTCTTTTGAATTCATCAAAGTATCCTAATTTTTTTTTTTTTAAAGTATCAGTTTTTTACAAAAAATATTAAACACAACTGTTTTCAATAATGATAATAATAAATGTTTCTTAAACACAAAATGAGCATATTAGAATGATTTCTAAAGGATCATGTGACTCTAGTAATGCCTGCTGAAAATTCAGCTTTGCAATCACAGGAATAAATTACATTTTAAAATATTAAAAGAACAAACATTTATTTTAAATTGTATTAATATTTCACAATATTACTGTTTTTACTGTACATTTGACCAAATAAATGCAGTCTTGGTCAGAACAAGAGACTTCTTTCAAAAACACTTGAAAACAAAAATCTTATCAACCCCAAACTTTTGAATGTAATGGTTGACCTTTGACCCTTTGCCACCACCCACCTCCAGCAGGGGGAACGACTTGATCCAGCAGCTTCATGCTCGTCCTCTTCCAGATCTTCTTCACGATGGCCCGGAGTTCCTCATTTGCTTGCTCCAGGTTACCTGACACACACAAATACAAACAGTGACTTTTCTGTGCATGTATGTCGGCATGTGAATTGGTTTTATGCATGTTTATGTGTATGACATTTTCACACCTTCAGTTTTGATGCGTAGAGCCGTTCGTACCAGAGCAAAGAGAGTTGCGTTGAACATCACCGTCCCGTCACTATTGAGAGGCATGTTCATGGACACAAGCCGCTGCAGATGCACAGATAAAGTAAGTCAAGTAATGTGTATAACGCACTACAGAATTAGCACATTTTAGGATTTGGGTTTGTACCTTGCACGCCACTCTATGTGGACAAAGCTTTCCAAATCCAAGGGGAGGCTGAATCCTGCGCAGCAACGTCACCACATCCAGGTGCTTTATCCGACCCCTGAAATCACATTAAACTCAGATCTCAGTTTCAGTCACTACTAATAATAATCTAGAATGGGATAGAGCAGATGTGTGAAAGATGGCAAAACATGACTGACTTGGCCTCAGGATCGTATTCTGCCCATATCCTCTTAAACTCATCCAGGTGATGCGGCCCCAATATCGACCAATCACGTGTTAAATAGTCAAAGTTGTCCATGATGACGGCCACAAAGAGGTTAATGATCTGTGGGAGAGGAAGGATCTGAATCATCTTGTGCTAAGGAAACCCGCTGCTTCTGTTATTATGGATACGGTAAACATTGTGCGGAGGGGGTAAAGGATGTCATGCTGGTGGAGATGATTTCACAACAAATTTCACAGCTGATTTACAATAACACAGTTGCTTACTGGGAAGGAATATCGATGTCGACTCACCAGGAAGGCGCAAAGCATATAAAAGCTAACAAAGTAGATGATGGCAAAGTGGCTGCCACAGTCTTCACTGTTGTGGTTGACCTCTGACCCCTTCTCACACGGGCGGTTCGGAGAACAGGCCAGCATGATTTCCTGCCACGCCTCCCCTGTTGCACACCTACAGAAATACACGAGCTCAATGTGAGCGAGAGACCTTAAACGAGTGAAAGCGAGAGAGAGAAAGCAAGTGGGAAACTGACCTGAAGAGCAGCAGAACAGCCTGAGGAAACGTCTGAAAGTTGTTGTTTCGGTTGATCTGGCTGTTGTCCCTCAGGGCAATCTTACCGAACATCTGTGGAGTCCGAAAAAACATTATCCATCATGAATCGCTCCACGCCAACATGTCCAAGTACAAGCACAGGGGCTATAGCAGCCATGGAGACATTTCCATGGGGAAGATGTGGAGAGAGTGTGAAGCAAATGAAGCTGGGTCTGACCTGCATCCCAATGACGGCGTAGATGAAGAACAGCATTACGATCAGCAAAGCAACATAGGGAAGAGCCTGTGAACAAACCGAGGGAGGTGGAGAAGGGAAAAGAGGAACGATTAAATATACACAACGAACACAAAATGCAGGAATATAAATGTTTCATTTCAACAGCCACTTTTAGTTACGTTTCACTCTTAACCCGAATGACCTAGTCAAATAACAATTTTTAAAAACATTTTTATAGCAACAACAGTGTATATGTATAGTTAGAAATAAGAGATTTTTTTAAAGTAAAATATATGTTTTTAAATAAAATAATAAAAAAATATTTCTTAGATATAAAATTGTATTTAAATATATGATGAAATTCAATGCACGCATATGATTAATGCAAGCATATGTTTTTTGTTTTTTTTGGTAAAATTCCAAGTTTGGGGTTGATTGTTTGGAAGTCTCAGCAAGGCTGCATTTATTTGATCAAAAATACAGGAAAACAGTAATATTGTGAAATATTATTACACTTTAAAATAAGTTTGTTTATTTTAATACATATTAAAATCGAATTCATTCGTGTGATGGCAAAGCTGTCATTACTCCTTCAGAAATCATTCTAATATGCTCATTTGGTGCTCAAGAAACATTTCTGATTATTATCAATGTTGAAAACCCTTAATACTTTTGTAGAAACTGTCATGCATTTTTAGGATTCTTTGATGAACATAAAATAAAAAAATAGGAATTATTTAATAATAAAAATATTTTATAACATTATTTACTATCACTTTTGATCAGTTTAATGCATTTAAATGCATTGCTGAATAAATTTTTTTTTTTTTTTTACCGACCCCAAACTTTTGTACATTTGATTATTTTATTTCAGAAAAACAGGATAAAAAAGCGGCAGTACATCAATTGACTAGAGCGTGCCGTGTAGATGGTTTTGTTGATTATAATGCAAACAATCAGGTTTTATTGTCACAACATGCTGCTTGCATCTAGTGTAGCCATATAATAACACAAACATGTTTGTTAGTCCGTTATTAGATTGTCTGCTGGTGTTTAATTGCTCACAAAGCCTGACTTTGACTTGGGCATAAAGTCTGGACCACAGTACAACCTTCTCTGTACAATTACACAAGTGCTGTCTAATTTTTATTCTCCTCACCTGAAAGGATTTAATGAAGGTCCAGAGCAGCGTCCGAATGCCCTCTCCCCGAGACAGGAGCTTCACCAGCCTCATCACACGGAACAGCCGAAAGAACGTGATTGAGATCCTGGCATTATCTTCAGTGTTTTGGAGGCCCTTTTTCAGCATGACAAACACACACATATGCGTGTTCATGGAGAGGCACACACACACATATTGTACACCAACCAGAACAATTCAAGATGACACACACACACACAATCAAGTTAATATGTCTACAACAGCATGTTAAACACTTCCACCAATAGCAAACTACAGAGACACAGAGGATGTCTGGTGGTTTTATGAAACAATGACAATATTCCAAATGGATGCAAAGCATTTATAGATGTCTACCACAATACACAACACCCCTGAAGTAACAATCTTTCCAGCTAATCATATATACTTAATAAATACCCTATAGAACTAACCTGTCATTAAAGCATTTAACACTATATTTCACAGGTGATATTAGAATCTGTGTATGTGTCACATACACAGACACTAAACCACATATGTTTACAGATGTTATGCTTTGGTAAATTAGAATTATGACATTAAACGTCATTATGAGATACAAAGTCCAAATTATGACCAAAAAAAAAATAATCGAAATTATGATAGTAAGTCAATTATGACAAATTGAAATTATGAGATAAGTCAATTGTGAAATAAGTCGACATTGACAAAGTCTATAATGTCTATAGTCTTATAGACTATAGTCTATAATGTCTATAATTGACTAATGTCTATAAAGACTATAATTACTATAAGGCCATAATTGTGACTTATCTCATAACTGACTTAGTATGTCGATTTAGACTTTTTAATGCATAACTTAGTATGTCATAATTTTTTATCTTAGTTTTTATCTCATAATGACCTCCTATCTTATAATTTTGTCAAAATTATGATTTACCAAAGCATTATTGTTTTCTTATGTGGCAGAAATGGGCTAATCCATTTGTTCGCGCTTCTTTAAAATTATTATATTTTAATGTTATATAATCTACACATATACACAAAGCTGCGGCTTTCTGTTTCAAAGGTGCACTCAGTCGTTTTTTTCCCCTCATTAAAAAGTTTCTACACATAGAATTGTATTGTGCTGTATTGTAATAAATTGTAGTTTTAAAAAAAATTTGCTTAAAATCATCACTTATCTAAAATGAACTCAGCAGTCATATCAGTCACCCAAAAGCAGTTTTGTTTTACTCGGAGAGGGTCACCTCATGGGAGCCGCCATTTTGAGATCACATGACTAACCAAATACTATTGGTTTTATCTTGGCAAGACCCCTGTTATCTGAAACTTCCGCTTGTGGAATAAATTCTGCGAATTGAGCATTTTTATAATGGCATCGGTAATTTTTTTTTACCTTACTCTTTGGTAAGGCACTGCATCCACACCACTAGGTGTCAGTATAAGCACAACATGAAAAAAAATGGCTCGGCGCACCTTTAAATCTGCACACACATGCTCTATAAAAACACATCACACAAACCAAGCAAAACTGAGAATTAGCTTCATGCATGTGGACATCGCACAGGAAATCGTATTTTCACAAGCCCCAGCTGATTTCAGAGCTCTGCCGTGTCGTGGTGAACTGTCACACCAGAGCTGACCAGCAGAGGCCGACACTGGACTACACACAGAGAGCGATGACCATGTGACTACAGCGCACCAATGACAGGCATCGCAGCCTAGGGGAGGGGAGAGGTCGAGGCGATGGACACACTACCAGCATATACACGTGCCTGCCCAATGCCACAATGATGAGAGAGAACACATGCGTTCATGCCGAAGTCACATGGTGAATGACAGGTGTTGATGGACAGGTCGACAAGGTGACTGGGTGGAATGAGAGGTGGGGTTTTGGTTACCGTTGGTCCGTACCATTGGTCTTACCACAGAAGAGGGGGGAGAGGAGGAGGGGTCAGCTGGCTTTAAAGAAAGGCAGACAGATTGAAAGCTATAGCAGCGCCAACCACCCACTGTACACCTGTGTGTGTTTGTGTGGGAATATGTGTGGTAAAGTGTCCGTCAGTGTGTTGGGTCTTTTGCAGGGGAGACGCCTCATAGCATGTCTGTCTTTCTGCCAGCTGAGGGCGCTACAGCACATGGTCTGTTTGAGGAGGAGCCATATGCTGTTCTGCAGCCGCAGACTGGAGGATGAGTTGGTGACACACGCAAACACATGCACAGATTCGACATCTCTCATGAGCCGAGCCGAGAATCTCTCAGCAGGTCTATCACGGTGTGTGTGTTGCAGTGAGTGAGTGTACGTGTGAATGTATGTAGGTGTGTGTTGAATTTCTACATGCAGAGAGACTGATTTCTAAATCCTCTGCAGTGCCACGATAGACTAAAATGTCTGTCTTTATGTTTCATGCTTTTAGTGGCGATGACAACTAGATTGATTAAATTATGTCTTTGCAGTAGAACTGAAGAGGATCTGGCAACCCCAACCATGCATGTAGCACACACATTACAGAACTGGGTCAACGGTATTACTCGTTCCAAATGTGCATCTGTGAGACAGTTACCATGATAAAATCTCAACACAGAGCCACTTTCAAAGGGTCGCTCCATATCACAGATATTATCTCACATTGCACAAATATAGAGATTTGGCACACACTGGTAAACGCTGCCCCCTGGAGGTTACAATCATGTCCATCGGTTGGCTGACACTCAGCGAGAACTTCAGTTGTTAGGCGAGTCTCATGAAAATAAAGGTCTGGGTCATATTTCACCTGAACTCAAACTTAAAACTAAGCAATTGTATTTTGTATTAGACTGTGAGAGCCTGTTTTAAGACCAGTAACATTTCTTGCACTGTTGGGTTTAAATGTGCTAGATTATAATGAAAATAATATATTTTTATGACAATTAAGCACACATAAGCACACTTCCTCTAATTATGAGTAGCCTACTGCAATTGAAAATATATATCCTACAAATAAATAAAGTAAATTATTAACTATTATTATTATTATTATTAACAACAACAACAATAATAACAGATGTTATATTACATTATATAAATGAGAGTTTATTTAGGAGTATTAACATGTCTTGGATTGTAGGCTTTAAATGTGCTTAATTGTTATTAAAACTATAATACTTTTTTATGACAATTAAGCAAATTTAAACGCACTTCCCCCACTTCCTCTAATTATGAGTAGCCTACTGCAATTGAAAATATATATCCTACAAATAAATAAAGTAAATTATTAACTATTATTATTATTATTAACAACAACAACAATAATAACAGATGTTATATTACATTATATAAATGAGAGTTTATTTAGGAGTATTAACATGTCTTGGATTGTAGGCTTTAAATGTGCTTAATTGTTATTAAAACTATAATACTTTTTTATGACAATTAAGCAAATTTAAACGCACTTCCCCACCTATGAGTAACCTACTGTAATTTTAAAAAATCCAATAAATAAAATGAATATAAAAATATTTTTAAATGTATTCTAAATAAATTGTTTAATATTTAACGTAAAAATATAAATCATTTCCACTGTATTTCATGTAAATCATTCTGTTTTGCCAAGATGATTTTCATTGCAGTATTACGTGTGCTGATTTTTTTTATGAAATTGATTATTTTTTTAATATGAAAAAATATGCAAATATTTTTTCATACAAAACATCATTTCATGAGATCACCCTGTCAGTCAATAGAAGTTATTTGAATACATCATATTCATAACTGGCTCAGCCAATTAAGTTCAGTGGTTATGGTCCTATCAGACGGTGAACAGCTAATGACACAGGGAGCAGGCCTACCAAGAATAATGTGCGGGTGTAAGAAAGAAAGAGAGAAGAGACAGAGGAAAAACACTGAAAAAGGGAGGAAAATGCAGAACATAGAGACAGAAAAGAAGAGGCATTCTAGAGAAGGATGCAATGTGGCATCGTCAGCAAGACAGAGCTGGCAAACACTCCCATCTCTCCACCCCCCGCTTCTGTCCAATTAGACACCGCGAATCAGAGAGCGCCTCCAACAGGCAGGGAGGACTGAGGCACTGAGAGGAGCAGAGCAGCCTCAGGGGGAGGAGGGGTGACATTAACGCTTTTCTAAGGGAGAACAGAGTCGTCCGGTTCCACTCTAATCTCCTTGTAGCACTGAGAGGAGGGACTGGCTATCAGCACGGATTCATCAGTTTAATTTCAGATCACTAATCAGATTAATTAACAGGTTAATGAAGCATGAGAAAAAAGTGCTCAGAGTTTTCTCAAAGGAAAGAAACGGGGAAAAAATAAATCAATCCAAACACAATGCTGGGTCAAAAGTCATGCCCTCAGATCAAATCAGATGATGGATGAAGAGAAAACTCCAACCAAATCAAACCCAGTCAGTGCTGAAATGGATGTGTATAGCAAAACAGGGGGTATATCTCCAGCACAACTGCTGTCAATCATAAATAACCTTCATTAACACATTTTGATCTCTTAAACTCCTTAAGTTGTTAAAAATGAAAACTTACATAGAGCTGTAGTCTTGTATTTAAACTTTTTCTAATAAAGAGTAACAAATAAAACTGAAAATCCAAAATACACCATTCAAAAGTTTGGGGGCAGTAAGGTTTCTTTCTTTCTCCAGAAAAATATTAGGCAGCTCAACTGCTTAAATCAACAGATTGATTTTTTAAAAATGTTACTTGGCCAGCAAATCATCCTGGAACGTTTTCCGCAAAAACCTTAATTTCTTTGCGACTGAAGACAGAAAGACATGGACATCTTGGATGACATGGGGGTGAGTAAATTATCAGGAAATTTTTATTCTGGAAGTGAACTAATGGCGCTTTTCCACTGCATGGTACGGCTCGGTACGGTTCACTTTTTGGGGGTTTTCCACTGGGTACAGTACCTGGTACCTGGTACTTTTTTTAGTACCACCTCGGTTGAGGTTCCTAGTGAACCATACCGTTACCAAAACGTGATGTGTAAACTCTGCTGATCACTGATTGGCCGGAGAGAATCGTCACTACCTGCGTCACTGAACTTGCGACACAAACACAAAAGAACCGCTAGATTTAAATCAGCACAGCCAGCGAAGGATCGAAAAAACTATAATACTTTTTTATGACAATTAAGCAAATTTAAACGCACTTCCCCACCTATGAGTAACCTACTGTAATTTTAAAAAATCCAATAAATAAAATGAATATAAAAATATTTTTAAATGTATTCTAAATAAATTGTTTAATATTTAACGTAAAAATATAAATCATTTCCACTGTATTTCATGTAAATCATTCTGTTTTGCCAAGATGATTTTCATTGCAGTATTACGTGTGCTGATTTTTTTTATGAAATTGATTATTTTTTTAATATGAAAAAATATGCAAATATTTTTTCATACAAAACATCATTTCATGAGATCACCCTGTCAGTCAATAGAAGTTATTTGAATACATCATATTCATAACTGGCTCAGCCAATTAAGTTCAGTGGTTATGGTCCTATCAGACGGTGAACAGCTAATGACACAGGGAGCAGGCCTACCAAGAATAATGTGCGGGTGTAAGAAAGAAAGAGAGAAGAGACAGAGGAAAAACACTGAAAAAGGGAGGAAAATGCAGAACATAGAGACAGAAAAGAAGAGGCATTCTAGAGAAGGATGCAATGTGGCATCGTCAGCAAGACAGAGCTGGCAAACACTCCCATCTCTCCACCCCCCGCTTCTGTCCAATCAGACACCGCGAATCAGAGAGCGCCTCCAACAGGCAGGGAGGACTGAGGCACTGAGAGGAGCAGAGCAGCCTCAGGGGGAGGAGGGGTGACATTAACGCTTTTCTAAGGGAGAACAGAGTCGTCCGGTTCCACTCTAATCTCCTTGTAGCACTGAGAGGAGGGACTGGCTATCAGCACGGATTCATCAGTTTAATTTCAGATCACTAATCAGATTAATTAACAGGTTAATGAAGCATGAGAAAAAAGTGCTCAGAGTTTTCTCAAAGGAAAGAAACGGGGAAAAAATAAATCAATCCAAACACAATGCTGGGTCAAAAGTCATGCCCTCAGATCAAATCAGATGATGGATGAAGAGAAAACTCCAACCAAATCAAACCCAGTCAGTGCTGAAATGGATGTGTATAGCAAAACAGGGGGTATATCTCCAGCACAACTGCTGTCAATCATAAATAACCTTCATTAACACATTTTGATCTCTTAAACTCCTTAAGTTGTTAAAAATGAAAACTTACATAGAGCTGTAGTCTTGTATTTAAACTTTTTCTAATAAAGAGTAACAAATAAAACTGAAAATCCAAAATACACCATTCAAAAGTTTGGGGGCAGTAAGGTTTCTTTCTTTCTCCAGAAAAATATTAGGCAGCTCAACTGCTTAAATCAACAGATTGATTTTTTAAAAATGTTACTTGGCCAGCAAATCATCCTGGAACGTTTTCCGCAAAAACCTTAATTTCTTTGCGACTGAAGACAGAAAGACATGGACATCTTGGATGTCATGGGGGTGAGTAAATTATCAGGAAATTTTTATTCTGGAAGTGAACTAATGGCGCTTTTCCACTGCATGGTACGGCTCGGTACGGTTCACTTTTTGGGGGTTTTCCACTGGGTACAGTACCTGGTACCTGGTACTTTTTTTAGTACCACCTCGGTTGAGGTTCCTAGTGAACCATACCGTTACCAAAACGTGATGTGTAAACTCTGCTGATCACTGATTGGCCGGAGAGAATCGTCACTACCTGCGTCACTGAACTTGCGACACAAACACAAAAGAACCGCTAGATTTAAATCAGCACAGCCAGCGAAGGATCGAATGCAACTATTTTTAACAAGCACACCTTTTTTAACAACCAAAAAATGGCTGTTTCGTTGTCTGTTGAGGAAGTACAGACGTTCCTCTCATTGATAGCAGAGGAGCGGATCCAGCGAGAGCTTGATGGGGCGACGCGGAATGAAAAAGTTTTTCAGGAGTTGCAGCAATAGAGGCGGCGCAACTATAACGACATGTGAATAATCCCGCCCACTCTAAATCGGTACTGAACTGCAGTGGAAATGCAAACCCAGCCGAGCTGTGCCGTGTCGTACTGTACTGAGCCGTGCCGAGCCGAGTCGTACCACGTAGTGGAAAAGTGCCATAAGAGTAACAAGTAACAAGTGGCACTATGACTATAACTGAATATGGGCATGGACGTGTTCAGGACAGAACTCTTATCAAATGTGTGAAGTTTGAGGCAGATTGGACATTGTTTGCCTGAGTTACAGCAACTTCCTGTTTCATGGCGAAAAATTTTTATTTGTCAGGCTGCCAGGGACACACCCTACAATGAAAACTCAAGATCTTCACAATTTAGCATCTCAAAACCCTTATAATTACTTTCACCAAATTTGAAGATGATCCAAAGATGAAAATGGCAAAAACGGCACAAAAAAATCATAGAGGAAATTCAAAATGGCAGACTTCCTGTTACATTTAGGACTTCGTTCCAAGAGACTTTTTTGTAGGTATTGGAACATTACATGAATGTACTGAATTTCGTACACGTAGGTGAAATGTAGCAGGAGGGGCACTTCGTTGAAATTTTATCGGTGACGCTATCGAGCCATTTAGCCATGCCCAACCTATATCAGATGTAAATTTTCACAAGTTCTGATGTCTGTGCAAAGTTTCGTGAATTTTCGAGCATGTTTAGGCCCTCAAAAATTTGATTCGCTTTGGAGAAGAAGAAGAAGAAGAAGAAGGAGGAGGAGCAATTCCAATAGGGTCCTCGCACCATTGGTGCTTGGGCCCTAAATATTCAAATAGAAAACAGTTACTTTAAATTGTAATAATATTTCACAATGTTACAGTTTTTACTGTATTTTTTATCAAATAAATATAGCATTGGTGTGCATAAGAGACTTGTTTCATAAACACAAAAAAATGTTTTACTGACACTAAACTTTTGAATGATAGTTTTGAATAGTACCTGCACATCAAAACAAAGTGGCAAAGTCACGTCTGCCACATATTAACTAAAGATCTAAAAATGTATCTAAAGATGCATTTTCACAGCATGCATAATGCACAGATGCACTATTTTGACACATCCAATTTTTTACAAGATTAATAAAATTTATATTTGCTACATTTTACAAGAGATGATTTCTGGTTAAACCCAGCCAATCTAGCTGATATGTAACAAGTTTAAGAAATATTTTTACCTCATATGCGCTATTGCTGTTTACAAACATACAAGCCCATACCAGATCAAATTGGTTGACAATCTAAATGAGGCCTATAAAGCTGAAGAAAAGTGAATATTATATTACGAAAGTGGATACAAAACCTTGAAATGAGCAGCAATATGAAATATGCAATATTCCTCAGATGAAAATCTGGGCTCTTCTTTCAAAATGAGTTTGAAGGTTTATGAATTGATTCAACAGTAAAGAAACATTTATATAAGCATCGAATGAATTACAGGGCACATCGATAAGATTGACCATCCATCTTAATGTAACAATTTCCAAATCAGTTTATCAGTCTATATTGATTGTGAAGCTGGAATATATCACCCTGAGTGCTATACAAGGACATTCATGCCTATGTGTGCGGGTGGAGGGTTAAAGCAACTCATATTTGTTAGTGTGGGAGGGTTAGGGGGTGCAGGCAGGCAGATTGAGAGAGAGATTACTTACGTTAACCTCCGTGATGGCTATATCAACAACACTACCCACTACAATAAGGGCATCAAATGTGTTCCATGCATCAACAAAATAATGCTGGACAGAAAACAACAAAACAACAAATAAAAAAGAAATGAAAAAAGGAAAGAAAAGGAGAGAGGAGAAAATAAGGAAGAAAACAGTTACACATGAACAATTAACTCACAGAAGACATGAGGAAAAAATCATAAAATCAAATGACGGGTGTGAGGAAATCAAAACGAAATCAGAGAATCCCATGATGAACCGGGACCTGTCATGCTCTACAGCAGCAGTCAAACATCCATCAAAACCATCCTGAAAAGAACGGCCAGGGGTCCTGGGTTAGTTCAGGTGTGATTGTTAGTTACAGCAAAACAACATACATCGCGGCCTAGAGGATGAAAAGAAACGTTGGCTCTCTAACGTTGGTCTTTCACTGGGCCTACCAAAAAACTCTCCTGTACGAACACTTTTTCTCCTGCACGTGTGCCCTAAATAAACCTCTCACCGCCACAGGGCGACCTGCCACAGCAGCCATCTTGCCGTCAGAACAGGAAATGAAGAGTTGGAGGAGACAGCAGGAGCAGAGAATGGCAGGAAGCACAGGGGGAATGAAAGACAGCAGAGATGGACAGGAGAGCAAAAGAGTTGGGAAGAGAGAGAGAGAGGTGGCGATGTACTTACGTTGATCTCACTCAGAATGACGTCTATAATGCTGCCAATTACGATGAGGAAGTCAAAAACATTCCAGGGGTCACTAAAGTAACCCTACACAGGACGAGGGGAAGGTGGGGGTGAGACGTACACGTAGGTGAAATGTAGCAGGAGGGGCACTTCGTTGAAATTTTATCGGTGACGCTATCGAGCCATTTAGCCATGCCCAACCCATATCAGATGTAAATTTTCGCCAGTTCTGATGTCTGTGCAAAGTTTCGTGAATTTTCGAGCATGTTTAGGCCCTCAAAAATTTGATTCGCTTTGGAGAAGAAGAAGAAGAAGAAGGAGGAGGAGCAATTCCAATAGGGTCCTCGCACCATTGGTGCTTGGGCCCTAAATATTCAAATAGAAAACAGTTACTTTAAATTGTAATAATATTTCACAATGTTACAGTTTTTACTGTATTTTTTATCAAATAAATATAGCATTGGTGTGCATAAGAGACTTGTTTCATAAACACAAAAAAATGTTTTACTGACACTAAACTTTTGAATGATAGTTTTGAATAGTACCTGCACATCAAAACAAAGTGGCAAAGTCACGTCTGCCACATATTAACTAAAGATCTAAAAATGTATCTAAAGATGCATTTTCACAGCATGCATAATGCACAGATGCACTATTTTGACACATCCAATTTTTTACAAGATTAATAAAATTTATATTTGCTACATTTTACAAGAGATGATTTCTGGTTAAACCCAGCCAATCTAGCTGATATGTAACAAGTTTAAGAAATATTTTTACCTCATATGCGCTATTGCTGTTTACAAACATACAAGCCCATACCAGATCAAATTGGTTGACAATCTAAATGAGGCCTATAAAGCTGAAGAAAAGTGAATATTATATTACGAAAGTGGATACAAAACCTTGAAATGAGCAGCAATATGAAATATGCAATATTCCTCAGATGAAAATCTGGGCTCTTCTTTCAAAATGAGTTTGAAGGTTTATGAATTGATTCAACAGTAAAGAAACATTTATATAAGCATCGAATGAATTACAGGGCACATCGATAAGATTGACCATCCATCTTAATGTAACAATTTCCAAATCAGTTTATCAGTCTATATTGATTGTGAAGCTGGAATATATCACCCTGAGTGCTATACAAGGACATTCATGCCTATGTGTGCGGGTGGAGGGTTAAAGCAACTCATATTTGTTAGTGTGGGAGGGTTAGGGGGTGCAGGCAGGCAGATTGAGAGAGAGATTACTTACGTTAACCTCCGTGATGGCTATATCAACAACACTACCCACTACAATAAGGGCATCAAATGTGTTCCATGCATCAACAAAATAATGCTGGACAGAAAACAACAAAACAACAAATAAAAAAGAAATGAAAAAAGGAAAGAAAAGGAGAGAGGAGAAAATAAGGAAGAAAACAGTTACACATGAACAATTAACTCACAGAAGACATGAGGAAAAAATCATAAAATCAAATGACGGGTGTGAGGAAATCAAAACGAAATCAGAGAATCCCATGATGAACCGGGACCTGTCATGCTCTACAGCAGCAGTCAAACATCCATCAAAACCATCCTGAAAAGAACGGCCAGGGGTCCTGGGTTAGTTCAGGTGTGATTGTTAGTTACAGCAAAACAACATACATCGCGGCCTAGAGGATGAAAAGAAACGTTGGCTCTCTAACGTTGGTCTTTCACTGGGCCTACCAAAAAACTCTCCTGTACGAACACTTTTTCTCCTGCACGTGTGCCCTAAATAAACCTCTCACCGCCACAGGGCGACCTGCCACAGCAGCCATCTTGCCGTCAGAACAGGAAATGAAGAGTTGGAGGAGACAGCAGGAGCAGAGAATGGCAGGAAGCACAGGGGGAATGAAAGACAGCAGAGATGGACAGGAGAGCAAAAGAGTTGGGAAGAGAGAGAGAGAGGTGGCGATGTACTTACGTTGATCTCACTCAGAATGACGTCTATAATGCTGCCAATTACGATGAGGAAGTCAAAAACATTCCAGGGGTCACTAAAGTAACCCTACACAGGACGAGGGGAAGGTGGGGGTGAGGGGTGAGAGAGGGCAGTTAGAGAGGCAGAATTGACCATCACTAGCGCTGCCGTACCCATGATGCATGAGCACAGTCAACCGACAATGCATTTCGTTAGCCAATCACCATTCAGCACAACAAAATCAGCCCATCTATAGACTTTCAGGAAATTACTGATTAAAGAAGTCCATTTCCACAAGAAAACGCTCTTTGATTTGTGGTGATGCTCTCGTTTACAAGGAATAGATGGGTTTTTTGGGGCTCTATGGGAAGTCGCTTCACCCTGTGAGGAATTCTGAGCGGATGGCATCTCTACTGACACCATCTTTACAATATCTGATTTGTGCTTAATAGGGCAGGAAAACCTTTAATGGACTGGAAATAGCTGCCAAGTTATGCGAGAAATAAAACTCTTTAAACACTGATGGAATTACGTCTTAAGGCAGGCGATGAAACTCATTTCTGAAGAAGAGCGAGAGAGAGTCATTTTACGTTACATTCGTTTCAGTCCTCATCTGGGACAAAACTAGTGACTGTAGTAAAACATTTCAGGTCAAAGACATATAGGTTAAATAAGTGAGATGTGACATTTTGTGAAGATAGGCAGAGTGTTATCCACTGTAAACTGTGCATTTGATGACACAAACAAAAACAGAAAGCATCTAGCCTGGAGAACAGCGGTAATAACTGGTTGTTAAACAGCACACGGCTGAAAAAAAAACACTTCAAAGCACTGTTAATAAAGTTCTGTATAATGAATGCTGGGTAAGATTGGGACATCAATTTTAAGAATAGCTTATAGTCTAATCATCTCAAATCTGTTTTTTTTATATAATAAAATACAATTTCTTTTTAAAGACTTAATCTTTAGAAGTTCCTGGACACAAGTCTAATAATAAATCTTGTTTAATAGAACGCTTTGGCATGAAAATCAGCTTTGCTCATATAATACTGTACATTGAAACATGCAGGGCCTACCCTGGGTTTGAAGGCGATGAGTTTGAGGATCATTTCCACAGTGAATAGGCCGGTGAACAACATATTGAGGATATTCATGGCTTTGCTGAACGATTGAGATTGGCCATGATGCTGCAAACACATAATCGAACAGTTTTTTTTTTTAAAGATTCGATTTGTGTATTTGACTCTATGCATTAGTTCAGTTACTGAGCATACTGACCTGCATGGCCAGGCAGATGGTGTTGAGAAGAATGAGGGTGAACATCAGGTACTCAAAGTAGGTAGAGTTCACCACGTACCATACCTTGTACTGATACGGGTTCTTGGGGATGTACCTGCGCAGGGGACGAGCCTTCAGGGCATATTCCACACACTGACGCTGTACACACACAGAAATTTATGGAGATATAATTAGAGTTACACTTTTAAACACTCTCTGTGTTCCTGTAGAGATATTGTCACCAGTCTACCTGGTTCTTGTCCAGCTCACAGTTTTTGTACTCTTGCTCTCCCTGCTCCTGAAATGTCACAATGACGAAACCTACGAATATGTTCATCATGAAGAAGGCAATGATGATGATGTAGATGATGAAAAATATAGAGATGATCACACGGTAGTTGTAGACTGGACCAACATCCTCTGCATGGGAGTCAATGGCTCTGTAGAGGAGCCTGTGGGAGAACAGATAGCTTCTTGAAACACTGCTTTTAAAATGATTAATTAATTTATAGTAATATTTATAGAGTATTTACGGTGTTGGTTCAATATTAGCTTTTAGAAATTGGTAACATGAAATCTCACATGTATTGGCATCGACTACAGATATTGTTGTTTTGTGATTGTGCACCATTCAAAAGTTTATTTTTGTTCAGCAGGGATGCATTAATATATATTAATATATTTCATTTCAGAAACTAATATATGTTCATTTGTATTTAAAGAATCGCAAGAAAATGTATCACTGTTTCCACAAAAATATTAACAAGAAATGTTTCTTGAGCACCAGATAACCATATTAGAATGATTTTTGAAGGATCATCTGATACTGAATACTGGAGTAATGGCTGCTGAAAAATCTTATTTGCCCCCCCCCAT